AATTCTATGTAGCATTTTGTAACCGTATTATTCAGTTCATTATTTTCAATGTTGTCATGCGTTAAAGTTAATACTTAGTAAATTGAAAGTTATTTTTGAAACTGATGTTTCAAATTTTATATGAACAAGTGTTATCATTTCGTTATATATCTACTCATAATTGGAAGGAAGTTAGACTTTAACACTAGAACTACTGCACCCACCAAAATAGTTGGTTTTAGTTTTCTTATTCTGCAATTGCTGATGTCTTAACAGTGTTAAATATTCAAAATGATTTTAAAAATGAATAGTTTCATTTAAATACTATAGTGAATATATGAAGAAACCGAAAAAATATCTATTGTTACAATTTTTATAAGAATTTCATATAAATCCTATTAAATGCTCGGCAGTCCTAGTATTAATGAAGAAACTCATTAGTGTGTGTTATAGAGTGATACATAATTTGTTATGAGTGATGAATAATGACACATACCATGAAAATATTAACTTTCCTTTTTCTTTCGATTTTTGTAAAAACGACAATTTAGTAAAACTTTTCTATTACAGCGATTAAATTTCTTTTTAAACAACCGTGTTATTTTTTCGAATTAACAATTGTTACTTTCAAATTTCTTATTGAACACAAACGTACAATTTCTATTAATAAATTATTTATCAACTCTTAATTAAACGGATATATACACAAGACCGGCCAATTCAATCTTGAATTCTTCCATAAGATAGTTTGTGATTATCACTTAAAAATTACTGAAATAAAATAAAAATTTCAGATATAATATTTTTTTGTAAAATTTTAACTATTATTAATACAGTTGAATGTTCATAACTTGAACCTCTGCAACTTACATATAAAATTCTTTCCTTTCCTTCCGCTGTACTATAAAAATCTTTGGAACACGGGATACAAAAACTCTGCAACTCGAATTATTTGCTTCACGTGTAATATTTATTTTATGTGTTAAGAATGACACCAATACTTGTCTATGAAAGTACATTAAAATAAATTTCCCAAATGAAACAAAGTATAGAAGAAAATATTTTATCTCGTACATTTAGATAATTTGGCACATAAATTCGCTGTAAGTTAAGGTCAAACCATGATATCTCTAATAGCGATATTCATAGAGCAATGAAGAATGATAATTACGCTATATGATATGGAGAGGTGCACAAGCAGATAGTCGCATAGCAGAACATACCATCGCGGTTTCTGGTGTAATTAGGAACATCTACTGGAAGGTGGCTAAACGTGGAAACCTCTGCGATGATAGCCAAGCCAGTCTTTAACTAGTCTAGCAAAAGATGATGCTAGCTTATCTTCGTGACGATCGATAAACCTGCTGCGAAATGCACCTGAGAAAATTTCAATTCCCGAGGAATCAACCGTAATTGTCCTTAATCGTTCTCGCCTGATATACGTTTCGCGAAACTACTTTTGCAGGTAGCGTTTAATTTTTGCGTGGATGAGCGCCATCGAATGCCACATCGAAGTACCAGGATGGAGATGAAGAAGAATGAAAATATAAAATCATTGATGTCAGTGCGTACTTAACATAATTATACATTATTATAAATTTCGTTAACACTGCGATATTATATAATAAATCTTTGTGATAATAACCATTTTCGAAGAAAGTGCCATTAGTTAAATGTATGATTGCTCAAACAACTAAGAAGCATTGCATGATAGAAATTCTAAGTGGAAAGTAAAAATAAAGTAGTTTATTTTTAAAGTTTGAAAAATATGTACTTGTGTGTAACGATCTAAATTCTACACTATGACTCACAAGAGTATTTGAACCAGTGGTGGGCAGTGTCGAATGTTTTTGTAATTGAAATACGTATGCAATACAGAATACTTTGATTAAATACATGAATCAATTGACGAATACTCTGATATTTTGTATTTGATTATGTTATCAAATACAAGACACTTCTACAATTTATATTTAACGACTTGTCGAATATTAAATATGATGGTATTTTCTATTTTTGTCCGATAAAGATATAAATACTTGTAGTATCACAGTTGAATAAGAAATAAAATATTGGGTTGATCGGAAAGTTCATTCCGATTTACGGTACGTTAATTTTTGTCAGTTTTGTACGCCTTTGAATTATAAATGTCTGCTTAATTCACGGTGATGGCCAGTGTTATATCCTTTTATAACTTAAATACAAAAGAATATAATATGTTTACATTTTTTTCGAGGAATGTAACTCGTATGTAAATTACCAAAGTATTCGTTACTACTCAACGCTAATATCGATGTATCTAGTTTAGAAATGACTAAAGTATTGGTCATTTAAACGGGTCATTTTTCAAATAGTTTTTGCCCATTCTGAAGATTTGACCAGTATACCTAGGAAATAATGCAACAATATAGAAAGAATTTGCAATATAATTAATACAAGCACGTACCAAAATCATTTGAACGCATGTATTATTATTTGTTGCCTTGCAGTCATTACGGTGTCAGGTAATTACTTCTGCGCGACCGGAAGCTTGTACAACATATATCATAAACTGAACTTCATGGCCAATGGTTACAGATATTCCATATCAAATTTGTTTCCAAACTTGCAGAATATTTTGTATTGCCAAAAAACGGTAAATTCTGTAAAATGTTAACACATTGACTGCCACGGTGTCCACCGATGACCGGATTTTCTAAATTACTTGAAAACAATTATAATTCGTAAGATAATTAACGTTAAAGGAATATGTTCACTATCCTAAATAACGAAAGAACAGTGTAGCGTATTTGTTCAAGTTTTCTCTGCAAAATAACCGGTTCAAAAAAATGGAGTGATTTCAAGGATCTAAGAGAAACATAAAATTTATGACGCATTAAATCAAGTCCAAACGCTTGATTGCGCGTGTCAAACTGTATGATGTGTCGACAAAGTATGATGAACGATAGTCACGTCATGCTATTACATGATACAAACAACTAACTGTGGTATCATTGTTTTCCAAGCAATTTTCCAAGTTTATCCTACATTGCGATATCTCAAACCTTCGGTACTTTCAACGTATAAAGGATAAATATTTTATTATAAGATATTTATGACATCACAAATTGGCAATAATTTTTTATTACTAAAATATATCCTTTCCTTGACTAAATAAGCAATACCTGTAATATAAATTAACACTAAACGTACAACGCCCTATCGAACGACCGGTTTACCGGTTAACCTTATGTCAATTATTATGTTGCTCGATTAACCAGTTTCTCAATTTCCGTTTTTTCTGTGAGAAAAAATTGTCTGACTTGTTTACCTTTATTTCATAACTGATCATTGACCGGTTGTTGTAAGAAACCAGTAGATATATAAATAAGAATCTAATTTATAATAAGGAAGCCTCATTTTTTAATATAATATAGGATTTTACGTTATTTAGTAAATGTCTGGAATGCAATTCTTTCGAATTGAATTTTTGTTGAGAGGTTAGTAATTTTATTAAATTAGTTTGTCACTAGGAGAATTTGCGTTTTCATATTTCAGTTTTTATATATAAAAAGTAAAAAATAACTGCGTCCACCTTCTTACGTCCTGAAGAAGGACTTCATTTTCGGAAAGATTAAAATGTGCCCAAGACATGTAAAAATAAAAGTGTTATATAGTATATATACTAGAGTATATATTATATATTATTTTACTATATGTATAAGAGTCTGAAATGATAAAAAATCCTCTTTTAATTTGTATCATCATGTAATCGTTTTCGCATCGATTGGCGCAACATATCATTTTCTACAAAAAGAGTGTTGACATATCTACTACAAAAATCCATCAAAATAGAAAAAATTGCATTTGAGATATTTTTTAAAGTAATGGGTAGTTCCGTAAATAATTGCAATTATATATTAAAACGGGACACCTTAAATGCTTAAGTGTAACCTTCTCGTAATTACTTGTTCCCAGTATTCAATAAATTTAGTTATTAAATTGAAAATTTTTATTCAAATTAAGATATTTAAGAATGTAATTAGAAAAATAGAATTTCAATAGAAAATGGTAATTCTAACAAATGTTATAATAAGTAAGTAGAGTATTTTGGTAAAGATGTTACCTTCACAAAAATGTGGCGAGTTTCGTTGGATTTTTAGTACCCTTTGGGAAGTGTTTAAAAAAAAATCCAAACGAATATGTCATATTCAAAACTATTGAAAGTATATACGAAAATGTAATAAGATAGGAACACCTCAAATGCGATGTCGCTTAAAACAACTGTAGTAAGAATTTGAAATTCTATCTTTATCACTATTCTTAATCTGATTATACGTAAACTTGAGTTGGAATAGTACGAACAAATATTTATGTTTCTTGAATTTCTGATTGTTTTGAAGTATTTTTATCTCACACGTTTTACAATTTAAAATACAATTTATTAGTAGCATAGTACAGATGTCGCTAGATATGTTTTCACTGGCGTCCAATTAATTCTTTCTTACGAAGATATAAAAGGACACTTTCTGCCACGCTTGTTCAACTCGCGTCCCAAGATTGTTGTGATTGCGGCCCAAGACAGAATCGTAAGCTTACAAATTTTATGATATTATGACTAAAAGCTCCATTGACAATACTATAAATACAAGTTATACATAATATTCACTCTTTATTCACCCTCCAATAGAACTTTTCAAACCCTTAGAGACTCTTTCTATTATAAACTTAATTATATAATCGATTATGTAATAAATTAAATATAAAATAAATTTTCATTAAATTAAATAATTAAATAAATATTCGCAACTATCGATTTTAGATATGACAGCTCGAAGTAGTCATTACGGCGACCATTCGACCGCAAAAGGATAATTTGTGTGCGGCCCATCACAATCCATCTTCTTTCAATGAGGCACAGGGATGCTGAAAGATTGAACCCCCCTGCTTTATACAGTGAAGACAGAAACGAAGACTTTCACGTTCATGATTGAAGTTATGATAGGAAAAAATGATACATAGAATAAAGACCATAATAACATTCTTTTAATAGTTTCTATAAAACCATGATTTTATAATAACAAGTTATTAAAAGAGGAACAATTGACGTTTTTTCTAGCATTGAATTTCCATATCCAATACATCGCGGTTGACATACATATTAATACAATATAATTATTAAGAACACATTTGACAAATAAGTATTGCAACAAATAAGTGAACAGATAGATAAATCAATAAATAAAATAAATAAATAAATAAATAAATACATAGAAATATCAACAGAACAAATTACGAAATAGAATATTTACAAATAAATATGTCTAAAAAAATTTTAACTTTATAACTTCATTCAAAATTATTCAATAATTTGCTATGAGTCTAACGCACGAAACGGTGGATGTTGTTTAAAGTTTTGACTCCCAGCCTCTTCTTCATTTCCTTCGTTTTTTTTTGTTCTCGGCCACTTTGACGGTACTGATATTCGTCACCGAAGAAGTTCCACACATAGAAACACTCCCCAGTATAAACACCTAAAGTTAATCGTATCGTTAATACGCTATCACCATAACTTAAATGTATTTCTAATTTTTAAAGTTTTTATTCATTTTATTTAATTTCACTTTAATAATTCAAGTTATAACATCAAGTAATAAATTTTAAAAATTCCGCACTAATGATTTTTTCCATTTTTCCGCGAAAGTTAGTTAAGAATTTCTTTAACGTACACCTGATTTTTCAAATACAGTAACATTGATAAATTTTTAATAATTAATTGATATTTATTAGTTTCAAAAATTTGAGAAAAAAGGGTCATTAGACGACAGAAGAATTATTTACGTATCTTTCAAATTATTTTATATTATTTGAATTATATTTAATATATTTATTATTTTAACATATATATTATTTTTAACTATATATCGATTTTAAATACTTTTCTGGGCTACTATACATGTGTTCATTATGTAGAATACATCGAATGTTTACTCCGTCCCTCAAGTTAGTGTACAAATATGCAAAATGCTATAAAATGTAAAATATAAAGTAGGTGAAAACCACATTCGAGTTACGCGATGTTCCTTATAATAAAAATTCCGTATAACCTGTTAACTGTGGAATTTAGTTTGAAAAATCTCTCGTTTTTCGCGTAATAAAATAAAACAATGAAGTGTGTACTCGTCAAACACAGGACGTATGATGTACCTAGGGTATATATGAATGAAAAACCAAAGTAAACCGAAGAAAAATTACATGACTATCTGAAAAAATAAGTAATTCTTCGTTGGAAAAATTAGTATCATTTTAAGCTTTAAGATGACATGTATAATGCAGTTAACTGGATAAATATTGTTGATGTGATTTTCTAAATTTTTACAAACTAGTAGCATCCTCGTTCTTTCCTTCATCAAGATAATAAAGAGAAATAATTTTCACATACCTAATTGCGTGTGGTCAGCATTCCACACGAGAGAAATGACCTGCAGATCCTTTTTCATGGGTACCATATCGACAATACGGTCGAGGCTCCCTAGGACGGGCACGACATTATACTCAATGTCATTTTCCCAATATGCCCAATGAACAACCAGTTCTCCGCTACGTTTGTTCCAAGCCAAGTTTTCCACGGCACCGAAAAAATCAACAAGACGATAGCTCTGTACGTTTCGCGTGCTCATGTTCCAGAGCGACAGCGAAGCATCAGACCAGCCACCGCCTATGCATAACAAGTTGCCGTCGTATGGGTGCCAAGCTACCGCCTGAAATATACATATGTTTAATGCGATGAAATCATAGAAGAAAAGATGATAATTTTGTCAGAAATAATTTTATTCGTTTACCTACATTTTACGCAGATAACTGAAGCAAGTTACCAATCAAATTTTAGAGAGAAATATAAAACTCGGGGTCAAAGGTGAAAGTAAAAGGAAAGCCAATTTAATTGAGTTTGTTATGTATCACAAAAATAAGCCATTTTTAGAGATCTTGTAGAAATGAGTGTAATATGTGCCCTTACCAAAGTTATAAAATAAATCATTTTTAGAAGTATTTTAAGATTAAAAATAAATCAATCAATCAAATTTCTTTGTGTCTACAGAAATTTTACAATATTTCTTTTTTACGTAAAGTGCACTTACTAGGTCCTCATAATTAGGTTAGTACGTATAAGTTAAAAATGAAACTATTATTATTTATATAATAATGGAGTTTTCAGAGGTCATATTACTATACCACGAGTGATTTTCATTATGTACAATCATGAGAAAACCTGAACACATTTTACAGATTTCTTTAAATACTTTAATACATTTCAAAACTACAACATTGTAATATGGATATATAACACTCGATTTACTGAACGAGTCAATTTGACTCATATTGAATTTTATAAACATTATTTCGGAAATGTTTGGATCGATTATGTTTGATACAGTTACACAAATATGTATCCTACATGTTTACTTTTAATCATCTAATTTCTAAGATCTAAATGAACGTACATCAATTTTTCTAAGGACGATATAACAAACTGTTGAGTAAATATCCATAAATCTGTTAAACAATTCATGAAATTACTTGTATATAAAGTTTATCAGAACATTTGTCGGTTATTCCTGCTTCTCCTACGGCCTAGTATAAATGTATAATTCGTCTAAAATTATACTGGAACGAAGTACATATGGAATCAATGTCATTACTTGTTTATATAAAGTTTCAACTTACAGTAGCAGGATCACTGTATTCAATATCCATATAATGCAACAATTTTGGCCACTTAAAGATGCTTATTTTCTTATCCGCCGAAGATGATACGAGGTAACAATCATTTGATGAAATGGAAATCGTTAATATTATTCCATTATGTGCCTCTATCGAATTAATTACCTGGCCTGTTTTCGCTGAGTAAATTCTGATTATTGTTGCGGAACCTCTGTAAAAATCACCGCGAATCAGTTCGCATTCCCTGATTTAATATTATGAGATTGAAAGTAATGTTAATGCTGCAAAATATACTAGCAATACAGTCTTAATTTTAGAAATAGTCATAAATCATTTGTGATATGATACATTTTGTGTGTTAATTTGTTAACTGTGGAATTTAGTTTAAAAAATCTCTAGTTTTGTGCGCAATAAAATAAAAAAATGAAATGTGTATTTGTCAAATGCCGGACGAATGAACCTAGGGTATAGTTTAATGAAAAAATAAAACAAAACAAAGAAGAATTACATGTTTATCTGAAAAATAAAAAATTCATCGTTGAAAGAACTCGCATCATTTCAAGTTTTAAGACGACGTGTATACGCGTCAAACCCACTTAATTAGTTACTTAACAACTTGAACGTCAGTTCTATGTAGTTGCGGAATTTTTTAGCCTATCGTGTAACCGCAGACCTTTCATTATTGATATGAAAAAAATTAAAACTTGTGGTTTGATGGATGTTCAAAAATATATCGATATAATGACCGATGTTTAAGCTTTTAGTAGCTGATATTTAGCCAGCGTACAATGTTTGAAGTGGCATTGGGGTCTTCAATTATAACTTTATTTAAAGAACAGCATTTGAATTAGCGATCGGGACGTATAAATAAGATTCTACGGATTTCGAATTCATATTGAACACTAGAAAATCAACAGGTATCGATTATGAATGAAGTAAAAAATGTATTCGATGAAGTAACTGAAGACATTTTAACTTTAAATAATATTCGAACGTATATTGTTAAGACAAAAACTTTAATAGTTTTGAACAAAGAGTAAACAAATTTCAAAAATATCTCTAGATAAAATTAATCCGCGTTTAAATTCCTAATTATTTTACAACCACTATATTTACAAGAAATAATGATATTAAAAATAATCCTAAAATAGATCCAAAGTTTCATTAATATCTAATTCTTGATGATGTACTTAATTAATTAATGATATATTAAAAATGGTAAATAATGGATTATTATTATATTATATATTATATAAAATATTATTTATAATATTTTCATAATTGTAAGTCTTAAGCAGATAGTTTTAGTTGGTTCCGACTCGATGGCATACTTACCAATTAAACAAATGCTATTAATATCGGTTTATTTTATTATTATCTACATGCGCACGAAATTTTCATCTCTCAAATTACATTTCAGTGAGTGTAGTACTAAACAGCTTGAGGTTATCTTGTAAACACTTGATCTTATTACTGGTGTTTGCACATTTCTGATACATACTATTATTATTCAACATACGCATCTACTTCGAATACGTCTTCCATTATAAATACAAAGAATAAGTTACTTATCTTTATCCAACCTTTCCAAATTATTTACAATAGATACTTACACTGCAATTAATTGATCATCGTGCGACCAGCAGATGCAGGAAAGGCGATTCGTTATGATGAACGGAGTTATTTGATTATGTGTTGCGGTCCAGACAATTTGATTATTCTGTCCGTCGTATAGTTTAACTGTAGACGACAGTGTACATACGGCTAATCGGTCACCTACATCAGTTTAACGAGAACTTTATCTCAGATCTGACCGATATTGATAATTTTTAAATACCTTACTGGGGGTATGATTTGAAACAACTCTTTCCTGTATATGTTGCTTAAGAAAGGATTTATTTTCCGAAATACTCGCGAAAAACTTTTGCTGGTACGAAAATCGTTCGTGGAATTTTAATCCCATGGTCTGTGATTTATTTCCCAACCACGATCGATACAACTATGTACATTGTCATTAATAACTTATTAAGAAAAACAGAAAAATTCTAAGCATATTCTATGATCATGTTTCCTCTGCGGTATAATCATTAATAATAGAAGTATAATATTTAATTTGAACTCAAAAGAATCGAGTAAATTCTTTTTAACATCTTTACCACGAGTCTGACACGTTCTTATAAGGCAAGGGGTTAATTATAGGGTTATTGGTTCTTCGAGATTTTTGGCTCTATATTAAGAAATAAATAAGTTAATTTATTTATAGACACGGCTCATTCTATTTTTGGAGTGTTTTGTTATAATTTTCTCCTGGTTACTCATTTTAACTTAATCTTGTCTCATAGTGAAACAAAAACAAAGTTCGATGGGCTATGGGTTTGATGATAAATGTACTAATACTCAGGATTTAAGACTGTTATTGTTAATTTTAACTGAATAATTAATAAACTGGACCTGACCGGCATTGTTCCATTTTAGTGAAGAAACATCAGCTCCGTCCATAGTTTTCAAGGATGAACCTAGTTGTGGCATGGTGGATTTGAAGATGGATACTTTATCTCGTATCGCCTCTGCGATCATATCCTTCGAACTCCAATCAATTAAATAACGACTGATGCCTGTCAAAATTAAGCAACGACTTAACAATTTTATATATTATTCACTACTTTCTGTACAGCTTTCTAAAAATTATTTCTTCTAAATTGAACTTATTAGCATCATTAATTATTACCTCCATTTAATGATCCCTATTTTTGTACATACAGTGCATCACTAAAACACAAAGATACAAGTATTTCTTTTGTTTTTAATGATACAGAAATATGTTTCAAAATTTTAAAGGTCATATACAGATAGCACGGTAAAAGTAAAGTAAAATGTATCCTGATGATTTTTCTATTATCTATTGTTAATAACGTTACTAAGAAACATATTTTAATTCGACAAATGAGTTTATCAACATTCGAACGATGAACCTTGGAACTATTGAAAATCAAATCTGAATTTCGTTATTTTATATTCTGGTCTAAGATTTCTGATTGACTTCTCGCGTTATCATGTTTTTAAAATTATTTGCTGTTTTCATCTGCTCCAACAACTTTATGTTTTATTAGATATCATTAGTGTTACTTACTATTTTACCGATCTCTTAAACAACAAATTTTATACATTGGATATAGATTTTATACATGCACATGATAATTGGCGTTTTTTAAAATATATTTTTATTATTCTTATATACCACTATAGTCGTAAATTAGAAGCTGAAGTTCGTTGGCAGAGGATTAGTAAGACTTTAAAATAATTAAAATGAAATTGAAAATATTTACTGATATGTGCCAGCTTTCGGTCTCGATAATTTGTAAATGCGTTGTCAAAGTTATCGCTTCGAGCAGAGTTGTGAGATCTTACTTGATAGACATTGTTTATTAAAAAAATAATAAACAATATTTCTTTCAAGTACAACTGACTAGATTCGTTATATTTCCGGATAAGATCACTAAAGAGATGGGTAAAATATAATCTGATTACTTATTATTATTACGATATTATTTATAATGAGTCCTAATTAATAATTACGGATATTTTCTAATCGAATAGAAGTTAATTTTAGTCATTAGTCTTAATATGTAATCAGATGGCATTCTACTGAACTTTACAGTTGAATAGGAGATTTTACGTCGGCAGTCGCAAACGCGTTAATTCACTAGACTTTATAAAATGACTGCCTTCACAAATCATCTACGATCATATAAAACTTAAAATCGCTATAATCCATAGAATGAAGTAAAAGTATCATTAAATCCAGTTATATGAACACGAACACTGGTTATTCGAACGAAAAATCACAAGTAGTAGGAGAAAATTAATGGACTCCTATTACATGAACAGCTTAATTATGTGAACATTCTGTCTCCTAACGAGTTCGTATAAGTGGAGGTACATTGAAGAAATTCTATAAAAAGGAGTACCCTGAAGAAAATTTATTACATATTTCTCAAATATATCATATGTTGCTAAAGAAAATAATAGTGTCAAAAATAATCTTCCGAAGTATACCACGCTCAGGAACAGTTTTAACAATAAAAACAATGCTTTCTCCAATTATTTTAACTTTTTTTTTGTAAATCACACCCCTAAATCACCACCAAGCAATAAGTCGCGAACTTAGTTGCCGATCTAATAGTTGCTCATAGTTAATCTTCAAATCCTTACGTGAACGTCGTTGAACGTCAAGAATATCTAATATCGAGCCCGCCTGAGATATTAAAGGTTGATTTCGAGGCGTTGATCTCCACATTTCATCTCTGAAATCTCCTTCGCTCCACAATGCTTTAGGTTGCGTTGCTAGGATTCCGGGTAACTTGTTCTCCGATGCTGAGCGATTGTAAAGTACTTGCTTCTGCCCTAGCCCTGGTATAATATTCGCCCTCTCTATCGCGCGATGCATAGCCTCCTTCCGCCATTTCACGTTCAGCGTTTTTATCTAGTGGCGGACAAAATAAAGTTTAGTTGCCTGGACTCGCAATTGGAACGCCTGTGTGGTCGACACCTTACTGTACGCCTTATTTGCTACAATCTTATTTGCGACAGTCATAAGGAGCTATTTTCAAACGTAGATGTACAATTTTGTATGAATTCCTTAAAGTTAGTTGAATAAGAAGGTTAAAGGTTAACAAATACAAAAGGTGTATTACGAATGTTTTATACGCATCTATTAGCGTCGAGATATTTTACAGCTGGTCGTGTCCTGTTATTTTGGTCTATACATAAGTTTCGTGACTGTTATACAAAGTGTCCCAGACTTAACCGTTTGATTACCAGATCACAGCGCTCTCTGTTTAACCCTTTACTTTAGTTTTTAAATTTAAGAATTATAATTATTTTCATTATTTCTGCATGCCAATTAATTAATTTATATTAAAAGAAATCAATAAAGATCTTTAATTGTTTTTCAGTTTATGTTATACTTCATCCTGCTTATAGCTTTATTAAAACTGACACAAAGGTTTTAGGTATATAATGAATTGATAAAAGTCAAAAATTAATTCTGACCACAAAGGGTTAACATTAGAACTACCTAGTAGGAAACAGACTACTCATAATTTTCTTATAAAAATTACAAGAGTTCGTTTATTGAAATTTCGATTTACTTATATTCTGGTTTATGGATTACCGAAGCAGTACAATATTTGCTGACGAACTTTATATAAAATTTCTTTCTTTTCTCGTCCATAGATTAAATTCTCACTGTTTGACTGTTTCAGTTTAAGACACTCTGTATATTACACGTATAGCGGAAAAGTGTAGAAATGGTGAACAAAGTGAATTCGAAAGGGAATTATCAGCTTAAAAGTTGAATCTATTGTTCTCCAATTCTCAGACGTTATTGTTATTTAACCGTTATCACTCGAAGTATGTCTATCAGGCACCACCGATTTTCAGTGTTCTGCTCCAAGAGAGTCTGTCAGGCATTACCAATAACAAGCGTTTTATTTCAAGTACCCAAGCTTGTTCGCTACTCCGTTGACTAGCCTATTGTCACATTTACAGTATGACATTTAAAATCTCGTGAGCAAACATATCTAGAATAACTGTAGTCCCCCCCTCCTCAGTCAACCTGTAGTAATTGCGCTAAGCAATTGGAGTGACGTTTTTATACTTTTAATACATCTCCTTATTATCGGGTTTAGCACCACGAAATAAGAAAAATTCTTTTGACCATGCGAAAAGTACAATAATAATAATGATTATATGAAGGATATAGTATGAATTTTATACATTACATATGTTCGTTAGATTAAAGCTGCAACTATAATAATATAATAAAATACGTTCTGTAATATTTATTTGATTTTCCATTTAAAAGAAAATTTGAAAAATCAGTGTATATTATTAAATTACCATTTGTTATTTTCCGTTTTGCGGAATTAACCGGCGAATATGTAGGTCATGTTTCAGAAGTTGCTTGGAAGAATGACAAAATGTATCAGCGCGCGAACAAATAATATACTTCAATTCGAGTAAGATATGATTTGAGTGAAAGTATATGGCTTTAAGCAATACCTGAGGACAACCGTTAGATTGGAGGCGGTTACCTCGCAAGACTTGTCAACCCTTAACCAATGAAATAATCCGACTGCCTTCCTTTCACCGATTCCAAAAAAATCCAAACGAACCAATCGGCGCTTTTCGCCCCCATCACTACTCCTTCACCGAGGAAATTTAAGGGAAGGTTTCTTCCCGGAAAAGCAGAACCTTCTCGATCACCGACCAACTAGGTATAGCCGAGACTACCTTAGTCATTTTTTATACGAGTTGTTCTTGACACCACACTTATTAATAAACATGTATTCCCTAAACGATCTTCCATAAATCTTGTCTGAAATCATAACAACCTGATGAATCATAGCTCAACGCAATCACGTAAATTCTTTCTTATTGTGGAAGACCTACTGCTTCCGCAGCAGCTTTGTAAGAACAGTAATTTCTGCATGGTAAACCACTTCGCCGCCATGATCTCGATCTTATCGCTATCGATTATCGAAGATTACATGCCTTCATCGATAAACACGAACAAGATACCTGGCGCCCACATCCGGACGGCCTTTATGCTAATTTGATACTTCACGCATGAACGTTAATCCAACTACTGTTCAATTCGCTTCTGACATTCTCCTTGTAATTAAAACTCTCTTCTAATAACTGACAATTTTCAGAAATCTATGAAGCCGTTCATCAATCATCAATCATTTATGACGTTTCACCATTGAAATTCGATGGTTTAAAAAAGTCATCTGTACATATAGACTTCCGGGAAATGAAATTTTTATAGTGGCTGGAGTTTAAGATGAAAAGGATTGGGATTGTGTAAATTTGGATACTTTTGTTTGATTTCCTATAGTAATATGATAGTTTGTTGAAATTTAACATACTTTTTGTACAATCATTGTTATCCTTCAAGTTATCGATAACTATATTCCTTTTAATATACTGAAAACGTTGTATAAAAACAGTGATAGCGTTAATTGTATTGACAATAATAAACTCATTAACAGATAGTATAGAAACAACAAAAGACTTTAAACTTGGTGAACAGATGAATTACTTTTAAAAACAAAATTAGCTGTTGAACTTTAATTTTTGGTTTTCAACAAAAACAAAAGAATACCTATTTCTTTATAAATATTATATATTATAAAAATATTATATATATAATAGATAATATTTAATTGCAAAATAATTTACACAAGTCTAAAAATTTAAAATTAGATTAGAAGATATAATCTAACTATACAAGCATCTAGAAATTAAGGAATTTTTTAGTTTCTTTAGAAATATCACAAGTTTGAAACGAGAACATTTTAAATTGTGATATCGTTTGCTCCAAAGGAAACATTTCTTTTTATTTCGTAGAGGAAGAGAGGGCGAGGGGGCGGAGATTAATAAAAATATTTCAATTAAAGTATTTCAGCTAAAAAATTATCTTACGTATGTATATTCAATGTAAATATTTATATTAAATGTTTATATTTAATTATAATTATAATTTAAATACATATATTTAATGTTATTTACTTACTTCTTTAAAAACATCGAGTTTATTGTCCGATGAGCCTTCATCGACCTTCCTTGTAAGAAGATAATTTGCAGCTTCCATATTGCATTTCTTTCTTGGGATTATGAATCTGTCTGCAAAGGAGTTTTGCTCCGGCAGCGGTGGCGGGTATCTCCTGATGACTTCAGCGATATTTTTGGAAGTAGCTGTTTCTGTATTGGTATGTGAATACCTCGCATCATCACTCTAAAAAACCAAAAATAAAAATTGTTAATTTCAAATCATAAAAGGGTTTCTAGATACAGAAATTATTGCTGTAATATTCAAGTTACATCAAATTTTAGCATTTATGGATTATTTAATAGTATTATTGATATATTTTTTACATACAATATAGACAACGGTTTTTATGTTTTCATTTATAGAATTTGTAAAGAAAGAAAAGCCTATAATAATTCATCAAATTTTCAACTGTATTCAGTTTCAAAAGATTACTCAGAATTGAAGGTGCAGTAATTAATAATGAATTGTGTATTATTAATAGAGACAATTACTCGCATCTATCCAGGCTTTGAAAATATAGTTTGCTATAATTTTATCGCGTAATATCAGGAAGTTAAATAATATAAATTCGGTAAATGTCTACCAAAAAATATTATATTATGCTAATGATATGTCTACTATCAATTTCTAGTGAATAAAAAAGAACAAATTTTCATATACCAAATGTATTTCTAAAATACTCTACTTGATGAAAATACCGTTTTCTATATTAAGGAATATATTTCTTTTGTAATGAGATACTGTGATTAATAGGAAAATGAATTTAACGGTCTATGAAATCACAATTTTGAATTAACTTAGAGGAGAAAGGTCAACTGCAGCAACTGGAACCATGTACTAAACACTAAAATTCGAATAATGAATCAGTCTATTTTATTGGGTATTGAAAAGTTTGATCGTCGTGATAAACACTTCCATGTACACGATAATAAATGAATAAGTGGCACTCCTTACAACATTTCAATGATTCATTGTGTAACAGACGGTTTCAATTTGTTCGTTTTCATTATCCGGCATTGTTAAAGTTGCACTTAATGACGCAGAACGATATTTGAATTATTTCCTAAGTTAAAATCGTTACAATGAAAAATTAAATTTGATCTAGTGATAACGGCTTCTTAACATATTAACGAGTAATTAAACCAGCTAACAGTGAGCGTGAAAATTTGAATGAATGAATTTTACTCGACATTTCAGAAATTTTAACTTTTTAGTCTCTTCAAGATCATTGAATCTGTCTTGATAGTCTACAATGTCGCATTACAAATATTGAAATATCGTTCAAAATGATTCACATAAAAATTCTTTTTTGTCACTAATGTATGCATACCATACATACATGTTTTTCGAAAGAAAATAATGCCGGAAGAATATGTTGCTAAGAACAATATTATTTATTTGTTTTTATGTCAGTGATGCAGATAATTAACAGTTAGAACAAAAACTAGCTTTGTCAAGCATTGGACCCTGTACAATTTTTCCCTGAATTAGCGAATGTCTCACTGATTTTGATGATTTTTGTTGTAGAAATTTACATTTTAAACAACTTTTTCTTACAAGTGTAACATGAGCTTGGCTTTAGTTTCGGAGATATTCGTGATACTACTAGTACTAGTATACAAATAATACTAGTACATTAAATTTAGCTACTACTATTGGCACATTGAACTTTGCTACTAGTACTAGTATATTGAATTTAGTTACTAGCAAGATAATTATGTCCACTAGCAATATGCAGACTTGGCTGATACACGAAATACCCCTAACACAGAAGATTAAAATGTTTCGTTCCATAATCGTGCTCCTTTCCCGAGGTCGAGTCAGAATGTTCGCACAACTGTAGTGAAAACATTTGCCGCTATACAATACGAAAATTCTCTTTCTGGACGGGTACATTCAATTTACATCGAAGTAAAAGTATTAATAATGTGGACATCGAGATTTTCAATACAATTAACGTTTAATTGCTCAATTAAGAATTGCTTTACGTTCATTATGTACCCATAAGGCTGGTTCCACCAATTCAAGGAAGGTGTATAATGAGTATTCTCTGGGAGGAGAAAGCACAATTAACTACTCCGAATTTCGCAAGGAATAAGAACACCGATAAATTGGCAGGTTAAATTTCTGTGCGCATTGCGCCGTGTGAAAAAAATGATTTCTCACTATCAATTATATAGTAATGTTTCGGAAAGTAAAGCGAGTGACGTAGAACAGGGAGCGAGAAGTAATAAATTCCGATACAGACGATTTAAATGGCCGATTATTCACCGTTATGGTTGAGAGAACGGCCTCGAGGGAACGCCATCATAACTCGGAATTAGGATGCCACCTTTCTGCTTTTCCGTTTAAAGTATCGTCCCGGAAATCCAAGCAGAAGCTCGTTGCTCGTGGCCGTTCGCAGACCAGAAAAAGAGGACCACTGTATGTATAGGAATTTCTTGCGATACGACTCGAACACCCTGACGCACTGGAACTAATAAATACGGACTTGCACGTTCGAAAATGCAAGTCCGGTTATAAGTTACGGTTCTCGTATTTCATCAGCGCCTGTCGTATTTAATTTTAGCAACCGTACTTCTGATATTGCTGCAATGTTCGCGGCAAACTTACAAAAGCATACACGGAAAAGCTGATACCGCTTTGTAATTATGCGTTAAGCCTTTAATTAACACCTTCCCGACCTTCGTCACATATTTTTTACGCCCGACGTTTTGAGGGTTCAATAAAGGAAATTAAATTACTTTCACGCAAGTGTTTATATAAAATTCCGACGCATGGTGTAACCTGTGGAAGGTTGGCGAGATTTTTTACTTGAATTTTATTCGCATCTTATAAAACTGATTTGTTACATTTAATAAAATATTAAAACTGTGGAGGTTGTTAGTGAAAGAAAGGCTAACCAAGAAAATGTTAAAAGTATACTGAAATACAGTTAAGTTACTTGAAAATAGGGAAGAATGTAATATAGTATAATTTTATTCTTTGTTTGAAGATATTGCCACTTTGTTCGTGTAGATGCGTAGTTTCTTGAAAGATTCCGGCCATCTTAATGTTGTGCAGAAGAAGATTTTTTATTTTGTTTTTGTAGTTTGTCATATTAAAACTATTCCGTACAACGAAATACTATTTAGAGACAAAATACTTGTACTCGATCCCCTTCTGCCATACCTAATCATTTCGCAATCATGTAGATGAAAAATTAAAAGAATACTGATCAGTGTCTAAAGATGAATTCGAAGTAGCTTCGCAAAATATTTAAAATTTTCATTGGCTCAAAGAATGAAGAAATATAAATGGTCAGTTTTTTTACAAAAGTATTGTGTATTGTCACTTTTGCGTTATTATAATTTGACAGCATTGCTGAATAATTATTTTAAATGTTTATATTTTTAACATACTTATTAGTTATATTCAAATGGTCAAAAATGTTTGGTCAGTCCTTTCAATGCTCTTAATCTGTGAATCGTTAAAAGTTTTCGTTATCTTTTATGCTATTGTACTTAACATTTCGACTCATCCGTAAATATAATTATTTATCCAAAGCCTGAGAAACTGTTGAAATATTCATTAGTGTATATTAGACATTTATATGTATGGATATTATTAATTTAAGGTACAGTACATTAGTCTCTTGTAAACGCATTCGAAAAGTCGATTCAACTGCTTGATAGGTTTAATGTTAAAATCCAAAATCGAAAGCTACATTAGTAGGACAACTCTGAAAAAAAGGGTGGACAAAACATTCGGTACAATCATTTTAAAGCTCTCATTGGACCATGTTATTTTAACTAACAAAATTCCCGAATGAACAGCGAGCAGCAGAATAATCTAAACTCATCACGCTTCGTGGTCCACCGTGTATATTTTGACATTATTTCTTCACGTTTCCGACGATTTGTAACGTGTACCGTTATCCGTGTCTCGCAAAACATGTTTACTTATAAAAATTGGCATGCACCAAAAATTATACCTCGGCACTCAGCGCGTTAATATTCTAGTATCTTTATTTCCTCACCGCCAAGCGGCAAATGATTCGATTCGCCTCGGTCCGCCATACTTTTCGCGGCGAGTGTACTTACGTGCTCGAGCCCTAGCGCGAAAGGAGAGCAATAACATTTCTACGATGAGCTGATAGCGTTTGCACTAAGAATTGCGGTCTTTAACGGTGAGAATTGTATTTCTACGGATTTTCCGCACGAGTAGCGTGGAAGAGTCACGAACGGCGAAATCTCCGGCGTATAATCTGCAACGCCCTTACCTTCTGGTCACTGTCTTCGTATCGCTTTATGCAAATGGCTGATTCTCAAGGGGGTTGCAGGGATGGTGGAAACAGCTCTTATACGACGTAGCGAGCCTCACATTACGTCCGCCTCTGGACACAGCGGCGGTTACGTGTCCTCTCTCGCACTTCATAAATTTCCGGGTGAAAAACATTAAATGCGCCGGTGCATCCGCTGGAGCAGGGTTCATTTACTACCTTAAACGTCATCGCGTGTTTAGCGCTCCGCGACACTAGCCACCAGAAAATACATCCGGTGACGTAAGCTCCGATGACTTTATTTTATTCCCTGGCTTAGCTAGTGATAAGAGCAAACATATAGGGTGTCCGCGTTAGTAATCGGCAGTTTTGTTGCGAATAAATAACTGGATAGGGACGGAAACAATTTTCCTCGATGACAAGTATGAATGATCGAAGATTTACTCTGTATTGAGTTAATATCGTAATACGTATTTGCGTATGCGTCTTTCTGTGGTTATTTCTTATATTCCTTGATATAACGTGGCATTTAAGTGACTGGTAGACTGCAACCATCTGACGTATGTAAATCCTTAAGTGATAAAGTTAGAACTAATACACTGCCGAATCCTTTGATTGTCAGCTGGATGTGCTTGTAAAATTGTATTAATGTTTTGCTTAAATTATATTTAGTTTTATTCAGATTTTAACGACAAAATATACACGAGGGGAATAAACGTAATTAAGATGTAATGTAGAAAAGCGGTGAATGTAATTAAATGATAATTTACCTGCTAGCAGTTGAAAGACAGTATTTTTCAGGAAACTAGAATTATTTTTACCACGTTTAAGGATATGTAATTGGCGATGAATAATTCTAAATGAAATGTAATCATTGTAATACTATTATTACAAACTTGAGTTTCGTTTATTATACATCTTT